TGAAATTCTGTTTGTGCTGTAAAAATTAAAAGCACACATGTGAATTATTACAATTGCTGAGCTTAACTTAATCGATGGAAACTTGGTAAGCGGGTGCATTTCGGTTGCCCTGGAGTTCTGTGCTCATACCACAAATTTCTTCATGCCCCCATGGACAACACAGCCTCCTGCAGGCCCCCTGGGAAATGGGACAAGCGTGCTAGCTAGGAGTTGGACCAACTATAATATGGTTATCCCACAGCTATACAGGCCTCAGTGAGCAGCTATTTTAAGCACGGAAGAACAGAGAACAAGAGCAAATGGCTGCAAAACATGTCCAGCTGTCTCCATTTCTGGAATACCAGGGTGGACAGTGTTGCTGTGGTGTCCTTTCTGTCAGCCGCAGGTATGACACAGCCCTTTCTTCCCCCTTCACCCTCTGCTTTCTCTTCTTGACAACTTTAATGGTTTAATGTATACTTTAGAGTATAACTATAATCTGTAATTTTAAACTTGGCTTGGAAAGAATAAAACATAAGCCTACTGGCAACAGACAGGGAGTTATTTCCAACATAATTGTTTCCACAGGATACCACCTGGAGTGTGTTTGCTTCACTTTAATAACCTCCAAGGGTTTAACGTGTTGCATTCAAACCAAACCACTAAGCTAAAGTGTATACAGCATTTAAAAAAAAATATTCAGGGTAATGCACATCACTTATTTTTGTTCTTTCCAGTGCTACTTGCTTTCTTACTCAAAGGCTACCAGCTCACCGCTGGATATGTGCTGGTGAACTGCTCTTGGGTTGGGCTCCCCTGGCACCCTGGACTGTTTCATCAGCTCCATGTACAGGCGCTGCATCTGCTACCTCTTTCTAGTATCCCTGGGCTTGACTTTCTGCTTCCACTACAAACATTGTGCAAAGATAGGGTGAGAGGATTTGAGAAGAGAGATTCGCTCATGAATTGCTACTATTTTCTACTTTTTATGTTGATTGCCAAGCATCCTTTTGTTTTGTGAAAACCCGCCTTATGCCTTATATATTAGAGTATCTTCAGCAGCAACCCTAAACCCAGCATCAGAAGTAATAAACATGTCTGCCTCCAGCTGCAAAAAGATCTACTGCAAAAACTGTCACAAAAAGTCCTGCAAGGAATATTAAATTGTTATTGCCTCTTTCTTTATTGAATAAATGTGTTTAACATCTTAAAAGAGTTTTCCACTAATGTGAGGTTTTGGTACATGCCAAGAACTAGGACATAATTTTTAATTCTGTCTGACTAACACTTTGAATTGGAGTTCTTTCCTCTGCTCTACTGCTATACTACTATTTATTTTTCTGTGATGGGATATTAGGATAATGTATATTATAAATCTTTCCTAAGGGAGATTTCAGTGACTTGTAAGTGCTTAACTGGTCAGAGTACTCATCTGCAGCCAGCAATCCAAAGTGATTATTTTGGAAAGCAATCACAAGTAAGTGAATCACGTTTTAGGTGTATTGAGAAAGAAGATAGAAATATCATAAATTAGTTTAAGGATTTTAACCACAAATCAGTGAGGAGACTTGGAGTTAAACTTCCACCCTCAGCATGTGAGATGTAGATGAAATGAGAAGTCATAGGTCTGAAGTCCTAAATTCTCTAGACTTGGTTTTATTTTATGTACTGTTAACTGGATATGAGAGTTGGTCCCTACTAAGTGTAGTTGCAAAGAATTTCAAAATAAATGAAGTGTCACAAAACACTAGTGAAGTAACACTATTGTGTAGCTCTTCCCTCTTCTTTTTCTCTCCTTTTCACCTTCCTCTTGGATAAGGGCACATTTAAAAAAATAGTAAAGAAAGCATTTTTAGTAAAAATAAAACATATATAAATTTATATTCTTCCTCTTTAGTGATCTTCCTCTAGTCAAAGGGTCAGAGCAGGCTCCTCACACGCATAGCACATTAGCTCGGGGCTTCAGTGAGCATCACGAGAAGTCAGTTCTGTGAATGGCATTGATACATGCATCAAAAGCCACAGTCATCTACAACTGAATTTGCTGAAAAGACTTAAAAATTATTGAGGTTATTTTGATTTAAGGACAATTTGACCAGACACAATGGTGAAGGTTTATAATCGTGTTCATAAGTTTATCATTTATCCCTGATACCACTAGAACTTATTATTCCCATTTGCCCATTAGCCAGCCAGATCCTTTTTAAAATGGAGCCTAGTTACGCTGGTTTTGTAAAGCGTTGGAATAGTCTTGACTTGTGCAGTAAAAGAGCAATAAAGAAGAGGAGAGAATGAAGAGGTTTCTCCATGTGTCTGTCTGTCAAAGCCACCAGGGGGGACTCATTCCTCATCTATGTAATTTACTGCAGCAAGAGTCTGAAAATAACCCACCTTTTCTTCGACCAGGTCTAGTAAGTCACAGAGTTCAGCAGAGAGCTTGTCTTCATTTATATTAAAAGAGCTTTTATACACTTTAGTAAATCTGCAGTGCTCTTTCCAGTCCGCCTGTGAGTACTTCAGCCACCCAACGCACTGTGCAGCAAAGTACAAGTCCGGCTCCAGGGACAGACACTTTGGGCTGCTTAATCCTGTATGTCAATAGGGTACAGCCAGTGCTGTCTCACACCGTCTTCAAACTGACCTGTGACTTCTGCTAAAGCTACGGGACAGACAGAAGACTCAGTGGAGGGCCTGCCTTGGCTTCTCGCTGGTTAGACTCACTCCACATCAGTGGCCATGGCTTTGTGGTTGAAAGGAACCTTTTTTCGACTGTACATGCACAAGGCAGCTCCTCTTCAGTGGCTGCATCGTCGTTCCTTAGTGGTTGTCTCATTACTCCATTTCTTTTTTCCAACTGCTACAACCTTCCTGACTTATTTTAATTTCCCTATATATTTTACTAATTTTAAGTGAAATTTGGGCATTTGGAAACAGGACTGTATCATTGCTATGATCACAAAGGCCTTGTACGTTTCACGGCGTCCAATTAAACAACACAAAAAATCTGTGTGGGATATATGTGCTCTGGAGATCTGTCAGGGAAGTTGTAAAATTTTGAATTCCCACTTCAAAGCCAAATATTGGAAGTGTGTTTTGGTCTTGAACTCTGTCAGGCCAGTGGGAGTCTTTCTGTGGTGTGTAGAAAGATTTGGAAACACTGGAAAGAATTCTCTAGCCATATTGAATTTTCAAATTTTTATCTTATTTCATGAATCATTTTGGAAATTAGTTCATTGGTTGGTACTTTTAGGTACTTTTAATTGAATTCTCACCTTCCTTAAATAGTGTGTGAACTTCCCCCACCTTCTGGGCACAGTCATGTTTTTGTGCATGTCATTATTCCTAAATTATCTTTTGTGTTAAATGTGCAGACCAATTTCTTAATCTTTTACTACTTTACCTTTATCATATGTAAATTATTATCTTGGTGTGCACAGAATTTGTGGGAATAAAAGCTTTTAGATGGTGTAATGGGGAGTGGGGAGAGTCAGAACAATTGATTTTCATTTGTTGTAAGTAACTTTTATTTTTTCCTGATTAGCACAAACCCACACACCTGTCTGTTGTATATACTGCTTCTTTATAGTAATGAAACAATTTCTGATCTAAGAGGATCCTGCAAACATACATACAAATCAAGAAGGTAACTCGTAAGAAAATAATTCAATTAAGCTCTGTAAGTCATTCTTCCATATATTCAGTATGTTTCCATATTTCATTATATTCAGGAAAAAAAGTGTAATTGTGTTTCCTGTCTGTTAGATGGTGATTGTGGTCTCTTGAATGAAGCATTAGCCTTTTTTTGCTCTATTTCTGTAGTTGGGACTAACAATATTCCTCGGTTTGTGCAGTAAAAGCTGACCCAGTTTAGTCCGCAGAATTGATACAGCAGACGCAGGCAAAATATTCTTTGTGTATTGCACTAACAGACAGAAATAAGGGGATGTATCTAATACCAAAAGTGCTTTAGGAGTTTTTCTTTCAGTGTTTCACACTTGAGCACCAAAACTTGCATCCTGGACTGTTTTCAACATCCCAGGCAAAAAATCAGGCTCCTAAGCTATCTCTGGTTGTGACAGGGAGATTGTGTGTCCTTACGGAAACATCTCCATCAAAACTTGACAGCTTTTGTTATTGATTGTCTCATGTTCGGTGTCACCTGGACCCGTGCTGGGGCAGTGCATCCACACAAGAGTCAGGGGCTGGGCTCCCTGACTTGGGCAAATGGTGCAGCGCAGCTTCCCCGGCAGAGGCAGTGGGGAAAAGGTCACAGAGCAAGGCTGGGGAGTGGTCTTAGCAGTTGTAACATTATGGATTTTTAAGAATGCTTTCACTAAGAAGCATAACTGTGATAGATACACCTCTTCGAAGGTGGTAGCTGATATCGTGCAGGACACCAGTGGTTCTACTTGATAACACGTCAGATGGTTGCATTCGGCTCCCATACTGACATCCATTTGGAAATACATCATCTCATTACCCTCCTCCAGGGTGCCAGCACGTTCTTAAAGCATGGTGAGCTTTGCAAGAAGTTAATTCTGAAAACTTGTGAGCGCTACTGACGATCATACCAGTAAGAGCGGACTTGGTTTTCATCATCTGTGGATTTTTCTCTTCTTTAGTATGTACAGGAAACTCCGAATGTTTCAAATTAGGCCTTAACAAATGTTACGTCTGATGAGTCAACCAAACTTGCCCTTTATTTGCTTCTGGTAGTCGTAATTTCACTTCTTCTCACTTCCTCATTTCACACAGTTTTTCTCTTTCATTTTTTACTCGTGGCTTGAGCTGCGTTGTCTGGCGAAAATGTAACAACAAAGGCAGAAATTCTTTTTCTGCACAAACTTTATTGTCATGATAACAGGTAGTGCGGCACTTGGATTATTTAAAATTGCAGAGTATTTGACAAAATAACCGAATATCCCCTGAAGACGTGACTGAGGATGACTGTGCTGAATTTTTCTTCCTCTTTCCCCGAAACGAAGTTTTATTCCATCAAATACTGAGCAAAATAAGTAACTATGTTTGGACTTTTTTTTCTTATTTTATTCACCCCTGGAGTCAGTGAATTCCTTTGTACGTCATCAGATCTAGACATATCATATGCTTTTTGTGGTAAGTAACAAATAGCTTTTTCTTTTCTTACCGGTGTTTGCACAGCCTGAGGAAATACGAACTTTCTTTCAAATTTGTTTCTTTGATGAATACAGAAAAATAGAAAAGAAATTCAGCTGGAGTACATTTCTGTTATTAATTACACTATTATAACTATTACATATGCATAGGTGCAAATATTACTACAATTCTTGTTGCAGCAGCTGAGAGAAATTTACTCCCAAGGAAAAGCAGGCCTGTTTTGATTCAGGAAATATTAGAAGATAAGGGATTTAAACTTGTTTTGCAAATACTGTATTGTATAAATTATCCAGTATATTACAATGGAAAGATATAAGTACATGGAAGAAAAAAAAGGGCGAATGTGATTTTCTGCCAGGCTGGAGGATCAGTCAGGCTCTGGGACAGCACAGCGTGTCCCTTCTTACTGTGTCTGTGTTGTAGACCACTGGATCTAGTGCAGAGAATCATAGAATCTGTTAGGTTGGAAAAGACCTTTAAAATCATCATGACCCGCCTTTAACCCAACACTGCCGAGTTCGCCACTAAACCGTGTCCCTGAGCACCACATCTATATGTCTCTTAAATACCTTCAGGGATGGTGACTCCACCACTTCTCTGGGCAGCCCGTTCCAGTGCCTGACAACTATTTCAGTGAAGACAATTTTCCTAATATCCAATCTAAATCTTCCCTGGCACAACCTGAGGCCATTTCCTCTTGTCCCATCACTTGTCTCTAGGGAGAGGAGACCAACACCCACCTCACTACAACCTCCTTTTCCGGTACTGGTAGAGTTGTACAACTGAGTTCACTGAGATTTTGGTCGGTTCTGTTTACCAACAGCCAGACAGTTTCCCTTGGCACCTCCCTTGCTTTAATCCTTGAAACAGAAGACAGAACCCTTCACTGGAAATGACCCTGCCCTCCCAGTTGCTGGCTGGGCGAGCACGGGGAGCACCCCTTCCTCACCCTGCCCCCAGGACCATGGCAAGCAGGGCACTTCTTCAGCCTGAGCACACTAGGGAGGGTAGAAACAAGTTGAGTTGAACAGGCTTCTTTCCTAAAATGAAAATAAAAATACTGAGTGGAAATCCTTCCAAAGGCTGTCACTGGATTATTTTTATAAAATTTAAATATCAGCTAATGAGCTCTAAATTTGATTACATAGAGGTTGTGTGATGCTTTATCACGCTGCACCTGACACTGTGCGTTGTACAATGCTAGGTGGGTCACTCACAGAGCAAATCTACACAAAAGCTCATTTACATTATCCTGGAAAATATGCTGGCACATCAAAAACATTTTTAGCCAGTGTCAGCAATTTTATATAGATTCCATGGTTGGCATAAGTAGGGATATTTTCAGCAGAGGACCGTGCTGGTTTAATGCTACTGAAAAAGTTTGTGTGGCTTCAAATGAGAAATAAAGGTACTTTTGCCTCTGAGTTTTGTGTGCATTGACCAAATTATTGACTTTTCTTGCTACTTAAAGAAATATGATACTATTTTTGCCCTCTAAGAATATAAATAGTTAAAAATATTAAATATTTAT